ACGGCCCCTAACACGCGTGTACTCTCAAACTGCTCTGGAATCAAAGTTGCATCATAAATAAAACAAACAAACTAAACAGGACCAAATAGTTCCCCGGATTACCTCCAACCCCTTCAAAATGAAGAACGTTTTCATCGATATGCTTGGTTCTTTCGGTAAAATCACGTAAAAGGGAAATAATAAAATAATAAAAATAAAACAATAATCAAATAATAAAAATAAAACATTATTTTTCTTATTTTAGTATTCCCCTTCTACGTCACTTTACCGAAAGAACCAAGAATATGAATCCCTGCAGTCACGAAAGCTTTAAATCGAAATTTTAATTTTTGAATCGACTTTGCGTTGCACGAATCGCGTGTTATTTCTTGTGCAACTGCCCGCGTTTGAAACGCGTTTAACTTGGTGGCTATAATGCAGCAAGCTCACAAGAGTGGGGGAGCGCAGGTGGTGCGCGTCTATCATCTCAGTCAACGCCTAACATCTGGTCCACGGAGGGCTGGGAGATGTTAACTACCTCTCCTGGTATACAGGAGGGCGTGGGTTTAATCCCGACCCTGACGACGTCTGCTGCTGTATATTTGGAGTTTGCGTGTCTCTTTCTCTCTAAATATAACGGTGGCTAGGAGATGTTAACTACCTCTCCTGGTATACAGGAGGTCGTGGGTTTAATCCCGACCCTGACGACGTCTGCTGCTGTATATTTGGAGTTTGCGTGTCTCTTTCTCTCTAAATATAACGGTGGCTAGGAGATGTTAACTACCTCTCCTGGTATACAGGAGGTCGTGGGTTTAATCCCGACCCTGACGACGTCTGCTGCTGGATATTTGGAGTTTGCGTGTCTCTTCTTCTCTAAATATAACGGTGGCTAGGAGATGTTAACTACCTCTCCTGGTATACAGGAGGCCGTGGGTTTAATCCCGACCCTGACGACGTCTGCTGCTGTATATTTGGAGTTTGCGTGTCTTTTTCTCTCTAAATATAACGTGGGCTGAGAGATGTTAACTACCTCTCCTGGTATACAGGAGGTCGTGGGTTTAATCCCGACCCTGACGACGTCTGCTGCTGGATATTTGGAGTTTGCGTGTCTCTGTCTCTCTAAATATAACGGTGGCTAGGAGATGTTAACTACCTCTCCTGGCATACAGGAGGTCGTGGGTTCGATCTCGACCCTGACGCCTGTCTGTATATTTGGAGTTTGCGTGTCTCTCTCTCTGTCTCTCTCCCCGTTGTCGCATGGATTTTTCTCCGGGTCCTCCGGTTTTTCCCTCCACACGATTATAACCCCACTTTGTTGAGCTGATAACGTTTGTGATAGCCAGGGTCACTCCTGAAAAATAGCTATTCAGCTTTGTGGGGCCTTACCCTGTAAAACTAAAACAAGTATACTTGTCCGTCCAGTGATCTCTTCCCAGCCGCGAGCCATCCACACTTTCGCGTGGCCTCAAAAGTGCACCTAGCCTGGCACGAGCGCCGCGGTGGTGACGTCCTCGCCGCCACTGCCGCCGCCGCTTTAAGCCCTGTGAGCCACGAAACCACGAAACGTGATTTCGTGGCCTAAAATCGGCAGTGTGCGTTTGGTACAATAAACAAACACGTTCAACTTAAAAGGCTACATTAAGATAACGTTATAGGTCCGTAGTTAGCGTAATTATAACCATGGGTCTGTTCAGAATGTATTTATTTTTTCCTACCTAAAATCGCAGGTTCGGAATTATGGCTCCCTGCCAGCCCGGGACTCCACGACCTTGGGCCCGCGTCACCCATTGTGCCGACTCATGACATCACGAATGACATCACAACTGACATCACAATTGGTTTCCCTATGACATCATCATCGTCCTCATGACATCACAATTGGTTTCCCTATGACATCTTCATCACCATCATCATCATCCTGCCCAATGACTTAGTGCTTTCCCATTGCCATCACAAATTACATGACAATAGGTTTCCGTATGACATCATCATCATCATCTTCATCAACATCATCATCCTGGCCAATGACTTTGTGCTTTCTCATGACATCACAAATGACAAACAATGGATTTCCCTATGGCATCATCATCATCATCTTCATCATTATCATCATCATTATCGTCCTGCCCAACCACTCAAGTCCACGTCACCCCCTGTGCTTTCTTATGACATCACAAATGACATCACAATTGGCTTCCCTATGACATCATCATCATCATTGTCCTGCCCAATGACTCAGGCCCACGTCACCCATTGTGCTTCCTCATGACATCACAAATTACATCACAAATAGTTTCCTTATGACATCGTCATCATCATCGTCCTGCACAATTATGTTGAGTTGATAATGCTTCAATTCTTAAAGGAGGAGGAGGTATCCTCCACCATCAGTGGATTCCAAAACCCCTGGACCATAAAAAAAATATACCACTTTGGGCAACGGTTTGTTACGCAAAGATGTTTTCTGTTAAATCATCTATATTGAAAACCAGTTTCTTTAGAACTGCTTTTTGTGTTGAGTTTGTCGCCTTTCCCCCACACCTCCGATTAGTATGATGTACCGGTGCTGCTTTGGAGCCGTCCATAAATGTGACGGTGTGTGACGAGGGGGGGGGGGGGGGTTGAGAAATGTGACGTCACATCAAAATGCGCAACCTTAAATAAATATAGACAACACGTTCTAGTCAATTAAATAGAGTTTTTAATAAATGTTTTCTCCTACAACATCAGAGTGCAGCGCCACATTAAATACGCACTACAATGACAATAGTTTAAAGTGATTTGAAGCATGTTTTATAATTGGGGGGGGGGGGCAGAGCTTTGTGACGTCATATTTGAGGGGGGGGGGTCTGACTTTTTGTGACGCCGTGTGACGAGGGGGGGGGGGGTCAAAAATCGTCCAAAATCGCGTGACGTCATTTATGGACGGCCCCTTTGGTGTGCTATCCGGTCCCTCTATTCCCAGAGAGAGAGAGAGAGAGTTGGTGTTAAATCAAAAGTTGTTCGCTGTGGCTATTGGACTCCGCCAAGGGTGCGTCTTGTCTCCACTGCCGTTGGTGATTTCCATGCACAGGATATCAAGGCCCAGCCGAGGTGTGGAGAGTATCCAGTACAGGGGGCATGGAGGTGGCGTCGCTGTCGTCGTCTTTGCCTCGTCAGTCTGCCGTCTCCGGCGGGCACTTGAACGGTTCGATGCCGAGTGTGAAGCGGCTGGGATGAGGATGGCACCTCCAAATCGGAGGTGGTGGTTTACTCCCGGGAGACGGTGGATTGTTCTCTCCAGGTGAGGGGGGAACAGCTGCCCTTAGTGGAGGAGTTAAAGTAACTCGGGGGCCTCTTTCTCGAGTGACGCCAGGTGGGAGCGGGAGATCGGCCGGTGGATCTGTGCGGCGTCTGCAGCGTTGCGGGCGCCGCACCGTTCCGTGGTAGTGAAGTGGAAGCTGAGTTCTCGAACAGAGCTCGCGGTTTAAAGGTCGATCTACGTTCCCACCCTCCCCTATGGTGATGAGCTTTGGGTGATGACCGAAACGATGAGATCGCGGGGACAAGGAGCCGAAATGAAGTTTCTCCGCAGGGTTGCCGGTCTCACTCTCTGCGACAGAGTGAGGAGCTCGGTAATCCGTGAGAGCCTCAGAGTCGAGCTGCTGCTCCTCCAGATCAAGAGAAGCCAGTTCAGGTGGTTCGGGCACCCGGTAAGGATGCCTCCTGGTAGACTCCCCTGGAACTCTACCGGGCAGCAACGTCCCACTGGGCGAAGATCCCAAGGCCGGCCCAGGACACGCATGCAGGACGATGTTGCTCGGCTGGCCTGGGAACGCCTGGGAATTCCCCAGGAAGAGCTAGAGTCTGTTTATGGTAGTGTAGGGGTGTCAGGGGAAGGATTCCCACCAATAGGAGGGTTAGTGGGAGGGGTGATCGAGGAGATATAAGGTGAGAACGGGCGGGAAGAAGGGGCCTTTGGCGGGAACGAGATTGGGACGGCTGGGGACAGGTGTGGATGGGAGAAAAGGATTAAAGGACGAAACCCCTGCAATCTTGTGTCGGCTCTCCTTTACAGTAGTGTAGTGTATATTAGTGTATAGTGTAGTGTATAGTCGTGAAAAGTGTAGTGGTGGAGTCTGTCGCCAGCGAAAGGGAGGTCTGGACAAGCAGACTGAGAAACAAACGATCTTTCTAACTAAGGCAATACATTAAATAATAGTATACGACGTTTCGATTGCAACACAAGCAATCATCATCAGGTATAAATGAAATAGCAACAAAAATCGAACCAGAAAACTATAGACAGACATATAAGCAGACAGATATCACCAAGATACATAGAGAGAGCAACACATAGGCACAGAGAGAGAGAGATCGTTTCTGTGACGAGGCCTTAAATAGAGAGGGGGCCGAAAGAACCAAAGAGTAATTCCTGCAGTCACGAAAGCTCCAAATTAAGATTGAACCACTTCTACGGGGAAGTTTTAAGTTTATATTTCTCTCTCTCTCTCTCTGGTTTTTTGTTCTCTCTCTCTGCCTGTGTATTTAGTGTACTTTTTCTGTCTCCACTCGTTTTTTGTCGTTCTTATGTTCTGCTCTGTCTGTGTGTCTCCGTTCCTCGTGTTTTATGTTTTGTCTCTCTTTGGAATGTTCACCCTTAAATTCTAACTTAGCAATCTTTGAAATACGTAATCGACCAGGCTATGCGTTAATTGTGTGTTGACCGACTCTCTATGTTGCATTACATAACATTTCTATATTTTGCTAGGTTATTTAATTTAGTGTGTCTCTCTCCCGCTCTCCTAATTTTCAAGCTTGCGTACTTTACCACGCGTCGTCCTACTCATTGACATGCTAATTTTTTGTCTCTAACCCCTCCCTCTCTCCGACCCCGCCCCATCTCTATACTTAAGGCCACCCCACAGAAACGATCTCTCTCTGTGCGCCTATGTGTTGCTCTCTCTCTATGTATCTTGGTGATATCTGTCTGCTTATATGTCTGTCTATAGTTTTCTGGTTCGATTTTTGTTGCTATTTCATTATACCTGATGATGATTGCTTGTGTTGCAATCGAAACGTCGTATGCTATTATTTAATTTATTATTTTATCTTTATACGTGACTTTACCGAAAGAACCAAAGAGTAATTCCTGCAGTCACGAAAGCTCCAAATTAAGATTTAAGGCAATACACCCATCCCCATCTTCGTCCTCTTTTGGCGAGGCCTAAACAGGAGGGTGTGGGGCCTAAAGAAGAAGTGTGGGGGGGTGAGGATAAAAAGAGGGCGTGGTCTAAACAGGAAGAAGGTGGGGCATGAAGAGGGAGGGCCTATGCATGTGTAGTGTGCTCCTCGTCGCTGTGTGTGTGTGTAGCACACTCAGTCAGACATGAGGTAGTGGCAGGAGGCACCTTCTCTCTATTTCCATTACACCAACTCCGGCCTCCCTTCTCCGCCACGTTGCCGTACAGCCCGGCCCAGACACGACCCTGACCGCGTTGCACCGACGGCGTTGACCGAGACAGCCAACGACTGTCCGGCCGCACAATTATCGTGCGAAGGCGGCAGCGACGAAGGCGGCGAAGACGACAGCGACGACGAGACGAGTCCGCTCCCAGAACCGGCAGCCCAGAGCTCTCCGCTGCTTTATTCTACTCGGCGCGGCCTGGCTCCGCCCTGGCTCCGCGCTGGCCACGCCTCCCTTCTCGAACCCACGAGCGAGTTTCAGGAGCCTCCCGATGAGGTCTTCCGTGACCCTTGCCCCAGTTACTCCGCCCTGCCGGCACACACAGCCGTGTACACGCTCGGCGGCGTGAGTGCGCTGACTGCCCACCGCAGTTGCTGCTGCTGGACAGCAGTTGGCGCTATGTCACTACACGTGTACAAAATAATGCCTGACGAGCAAGTACCAAATAAGCGACATCCCATTACAACAGGAGGCCAACAACAACAAACAACAAAATACTCAAATGCCACCACTCTCAAAAAAAAGTGATGGCAACTCTTTTGACCTTTTTTGGTTTTCAAACCCAATCCTGGGTACAGAGGAGCACTTCAAGCGTGACGATGGCTGTCGACTCAAGCGAAGTGCAGAATCAAACAAGAGCAATAGCAGCGAAACATGAGACATGCCGCAGATGCCTCCACAGGCCTTGGTGGCTAGGAGATGTTAACTAACTCGCCTGGTACGCAGGAGGTCGTTGGTTTGATCACGACCTTGACCCCTGCTGTGTATTTGGAGTTTGCGTGTCTCTCTCTCTCTCTCGTACCCCCGTGATCGCGTGGATTTTTCTCCGGATCCTCCAGCTTTTTCCCTCCACATTTAGAATCAACGTCAGTGACGCGTTTTAAAGTATTTGGCTGCTGCTAGACATTTCCCACATGGTGATGATGATGAGCCACTTCGTTGAGTTGCTATCGTCTGTGACAGCCAGGTCGCTTCTGAAAAAAGAGTTACATAGCTCAGAGGAGCATTGACCTCGTAAAATAAGTAAACAATAAAATTACTAAAAGTAAGAATAGAAATAAAATAAAATAATAAATCACGAGGTTTCGGAGGCAACACAAGTCTCCGTCATCAGGTGGGACCGTCACAGCTATATTTACTGTATCAAGTGATACAGTAAATCTATTATTACTTTTATTAATTTTAATTAAATTTTTTACCTACGTGACTTTACCGAAAAAACCTCAGAGTATGAATCCTTGCAGTCACGAAAGCTTCAAATCTAGAACTCGTAAAATAAATAAATTTTTCTCATCATAAAAACTGTTTGCGATGGCCTACGTCCCAGAGAATAAGTCGCTGAAAGGCGGAGATTGTTCCAGAGCCATCCGCATTCAATCGAAGGCACGAAGGCGCCGCTACGGGTTGGGCAGGTCGATGACGATGGGTGGGTTGACGGGTTCGTAGTTCACGTTGCAAGTTGACGCGTTCACGAACAAGGTTCGCCCATCGGTCATGATCCCGTAACCTGCACACGCACGCAAAGGCAAATGATCCCCCCCCCGTATAGCCTTAACAGACTGTTGGGGCAAGTCCCGTTAGTAGCAAAAAGCAGCACCTGAAGGTTGGCACGGCACAAGAGGGGGGTGGGTGGCCAGCACTACGGCCAACCGCCTTTGTCTCCCCAGTGGTCATATTTACTACTCACTGCACCAGGTACTCTCAATTGAGGCTAAGTCGACCGAGGGGAAGGCCCAGGACCAGATAAGATAATCGTCACCGATGTTGGCCGTGAGCAGGAATTGAACTTGGGTCACCGAATTTGAAGCAAGGTGCACTAAGCTGCTACACTACTCGTCCCCACACACACACAACAACCGCCACACACACACCGATACACACACACACCGATACACACACACACACCGATACACACACACACACCGATACACACACACACCGATACACACACACACACCGATACACACACACACACCGATACACACACACACACACCGATACACACACACACCGATACACACACACACACCGATACACACACACACACACAACAACCGCCACACACACACCGATACACACACACACACACACCGATACACACACACACATCGATACACACACACACCGATACACACACACACACACCGATACACACACACACACACCGATACACAAACACACACACCGATACACACAACAACAACAACAACAACCGCCATTCGCCACTAAGTGGCGGTGACGTCACCACGATGCTTGTGCCAGGCCAAGTGCACCTTGAGGCCACGTGAAGTGTCGAAAGCCCGCTGGCAGGAGGTCACGGGGCAGACCCAGGTGCCACGGGTCGACTGGCCGAGATGACCGAGATGACTGGCTGATGCACCACCTGTGCCCCCTACTGTGCCAACTTGCTGTGCTTTAGCCACCCGGCGCTCCGATCGTTGTTGTGAGCGTCGCTCCTCCGCCCTCCGTTGTTGTTGGAGGGCGACTGCCTCCAACTGCCCAGTAGCGTCCTTCACGAGCCTCCTCCACTGAGGCCGATCTTGACACCGCTGGTACCAGTCATCGGCAAGTCCACTCAGCTCCACGTCCTCCTGTACCACATCACTCCATCTCTTCTCCAGCCCGTGCCGCGCCCGTCTAGCCCCCTCGATCCGGCCGAACAAAAGCTGTTTAGGCATGCGGTGGCTGGGCATGCGGGCTACATGACCCAGCCAACGCAGCCTTGCCTGCCGGAGGAGCTCACTGATGGGACTTTGCCCAGATCTTTCAAGGATTTGTGAGCTCCTCACACAATCCAGCCTGCAGGTTCAACCCAGGATGGATCGTAGGCAGGCCAGCCTAAATGTTTCCAACACACACCGATACACACACACACACACTGGTCGCGAGTAGCTGCCGACGAAGTGGGGCAGTAAGCGGGCCCCCCCACCCCCCGACCTCCCCTGACCTTCGTGGATGTGCCCGAAGGCGTGCAGCCGCGGCTTCACCCGCCGGCGGACGCTGCTCATCAGCTCGACGCAGCCGGCGCGCCACTCGCCGTGGCCTGTGACGCGGTCGCCGGCGCCGAGCGGCGGTCCGTGCGTGAGCAGCACGTCCACGCCGGCCGGGATCTGCCGCCACTTCTCCAGCAGACGCTCGCCCCGGGGCAAGTTGAAGGCCCAGCTGCAGAACTCGGGCTGCCTGGGGGTGGTGGGGTGGTGGTGGGGGGGGTGGGGGGTGGTGGTGGGGGTGGTGGTGGGGGGGGGGTGGTGGGGGGTGGTGGTGGGGGGGGTGGTGGGGGGTGGTGGGGGGTGGTGGGGGTGGTGGTGGTGGGGGGTGGTGGTGGGGGAGGTATAGCAAGGAGAGTATTTATGTTTAACCCTCCCCCAACCGCCGCCCCACCTGGATATGTTTCATATGACCGTGGGTAGGTATGTGTGTTCGTACGTCTAAAGTGGTGTAGTGTATAGTGCAGTGTATAGATTAGTGTATTGTCTCGTGTATAGTGTAGTGTATAGTAGTGTATAGGTTAGTGTATAGTGTAGTGTATAGCATAGTGTATAACGTAGTGTATAGTGTAGTGTCTATTGTAGTGTATAGTGTAGTGTAGAATATAGTGTAGTGTAGAGTATAGTGTAGTGTATAGCGAAGTGTATAGTAGTGTATAGCGTAGTGTATCGTAGTGTATAGTCTGCTGTATAGTGTAGTGGATAACATAGTGTATAGCGTAGTGTATAGTGTTGTGTGTAGCGTAGTGTATAGCATAGTGTATAGTAGTGTATAGTGTAGTATATAGTCTGTTGTATAGTGTAGTGTATAGCGTCGTGTATAGTGTAGTGTATAGTCTAGTGTATAGTGTAGTGTATAGTGTAGTGTATAGTAGTGTGTAGTGTATAGTGTAGTGTATAGTGTAGTGTATAGTGTATTATATAGTGTAGTGTATAGTAGTGTGTAGTGTATAGTGTAGTGTATAGTGTATTATATAGTGTAGTGTATAGTAGTGTGTAGTGTATAGTGTAGTGTATAGTGTATTATATAGTGTAGTGTATAGCGTCGTGTATAGTAGTGTGTAGTGTATAGTGTAGTGTATAGTGTATTATATAGTGTAGTGTATAGTGTAGTGTAGAGTGTAGTGTAGAGTAGTGTATAGTGTAGTGTATAGCGTAGTGTATAGTGTAGTGTATAGTAGTGTGTAGTGTATAGTGTAGTGTATAGCGTCATGTATATCGCATCTGAAAGCGCCGCGCGATGCCGGTGACCGTCTTTGTTCGACGGCCACCCAAAATCCACCGCCGCCGCCACTGCGAAGACGACGACCGGAGCTCGCGCCACGACCGCGTTCTACACTCCTCACCCGCACGAAAGCGGCGGTAAACCACGACAGCAGACTGACCACGGGGAGCCGTAGATGCGGAATCCGAGAACCTCCGTCTCGTCGTCCTGCAGGTAGACGCAATTGGTGAGCAGCGACCGGACGTGCCCGGGGATAGTGGCATCGGCACGCCCCGTCGCCGCCGGCATCCCGAAGCGCCTCCAAGGGTCGTCCAGCCTCGCCACGAAGTCCGCGTCGAAGCTCAGCTCGTGGTTGCCGGCGATCACCACCTTGTGCGGGCAGGGCTGGCGGCCTGTGGGGAGCGGTGGTGCCGCGGTTAGCGCTACGCTGCGCTACGAACACGGCGACCAGGGTTCGATTCCCGCTCACGACCAACACCGGTGACATTTATCTGAACCGGTCCTGGGCCCCCCCTAGGTCGACTCAGCCTTAAATGAGTACCTGGTGCGATGTGTAAACATCGCCACTGGGGAGACGAAGGCGGTCGGGCGTGGTGCTGGCCACCCACCCCCTCGTGTGCCGTGCTGGCCTTCATAGGTGCTCGCTAACAGCACTTGCCCCTACATTCTGTTAAGGCTACACGGGGGATCTTTGTCTCTGTGAGTGATACGACTCGCGGTCTGTTCTGTTTTCATCGCGGGATGCCTTTTTGTTTTGCCAGTAGCAAAGTATGAAAAGTAAGATAATGTTTCTTTTTTTACCCTTTCTGGCAATAAAACAGGAGTTGTGTTAAGACGTTCAAACACCAAATAGACACCTTGCGCGAGGCATCAGTGTCCTGGATTAACCACGCACGGCGAACAAGCAAACAAACATGGCTCTGATCATACTTGGGCATTGTCGTTGCCACTAATTGGCCTCCATCAGAGACGGCTCAGCCTTCTTCGTGGCCCAGTCTCATCGCCAGTGTCAGGCCAGAGAACATAGCCACAAGGCGACCAGCGCAAGGGCAACGCCACAACGTACCAGAGCGTTGATAGCTCGGGACGAGCAGCTACATCACGGGGTACCTGTTTGGCGGTGCAGTAAATACTTGGATTGTGAGTAACTTGGTCTGCGAGTGTTTTGCAAGACGAGCAAAATTTTAAAATAAATATTAATTTGATAAACGAGCGAGGTCTTGCAATACGAGCAGTACGTGTAGTATACGCTTTGTCTGCCGAGCGTCACGTGATCACAACTGAGCCAATGGTTCTTCTCTTTCTCTCTCTGCGGGATTGTGGGTAATCGTCTCCCATGCTCGGTCTCAGTCGGCGTGTCTCACTCGTATAGTCAACATCCGTGCGAGCGTACACTGTGTACTAGTGTTGTGACCACGAGTGTGTGTGTAAAGCATTTTTTTTTATTTTGTGTCCAAGTGTAGTGACTGTTCTTTAGTAACTGTACTGCAAGTGAAAGTCGTCCTCCACAATAACCCTCCTCCTCCTCCTCTCTCGTGTCCCTCACACCAGCCACGATTAAATTTAATGAATACATTTGATTACTTCATATTAAATAAAAAATAATAAAAGTATCAAAACGGTATTTTGTATTAATCATTTTTATATGAATACAGTATTTTTGGGTTGTGGAACGAATCATCTGAGTTTCCATTATTTCTTATGGGGAAATTCGCTTTGATATACGAGTGCTTTGGATTACGAGCCCGTTTCCGGAACGAATTATGCTCGCAATCCAAGGTTTCACTGTGTAATGGGTTCAATTTAGGCGCACACACTTCTTGGGAGGCAACACTCATTTATTAATTAACACAACGTTTACTCAACAGTTACTCTTACTCTACACATAGGGTGGTGACCACCGACCTACACTAGCTAACACACAATTGTATTTTAGTCTCTCTCCAGCGTGACCCAGCCAGGTGGCTGCTGGCAGTCCGCTCACTGTAGGTCTTCTCTTCTGGCATCTTCACGAGGTGTCTTCATTCTTCTCAGGAACAGCCCTGCTCTGCCTTCACACCACCCTTATATCTCGTCTCTCTGGCGTGGCCGGCTCCGCCCAGGCCACGCCTCCCTTCCCAGGCCACGCCTCACTTCCCAGGCCACGCCTCACTTCCCCCACCTCTGGGAAGGTCCGGATCCCTCCAGCACGTGACCCCCCAGGCACCCCCTTGGGGCCTCCAGCCCTCGTACGGGCCAACACAGTAGTGACCGTTCTGTCACTACATCACCCCCTCCTGTATAAACACACAGCCGTCCCCGGCTGTAACACAACTGTGAACATCGAAAAGGTGTGCCTCCGAACCAGCAACATCAATAAATGACCGGCGACCGATAAGAAATACAATCACGTAATATATACAGAATCGACGAGGGTAAAAGGGAACCGCATAGAAAACGGGGAATTAACAACAAATATACATGAAAACTGGCTAACCCACTTACGCTACAGCACAGCCCCCCCACCGTTAGAATCACGCATGCAATGACAGTCACCCGTTAGCACCCCCCCGCCTTTCCGACGTGGCGTCACAACCAGTAGCACGCGTCGGCCATATCGGGGGGGGGGAATTTCCATGTTACCACCCCACCGCCTTTCCGACGTGGCGTCACAACCAGTAGCACGCGTCGGCCATATCGGGGGGGGGATTTCCATGTTACCCCCCCACCGCCTTTCCGACGCGGCGTCACAACCAGTAGCACACGTCGGCCATATCGGTGGGATTTTAACCCAGTCTCTCTCCAAGACTCGCATCGCAGCATATAGCTGTACCGACCGAGCTGAGATGACCCAGTCTCTCTCCCAGACTCGCATCGCAGCATATAGCTGTACCGACCGAGCTGAGACGACCCATCGTTCACTCACTGCACAACATGCACCCTAACAACTGAGGGAAACAGTCTCAACGTAACAGGCCAACTCCACCCGAACCTTACGAATCTCCAGCCCACTGTTTCAACGCGCCTCAGAGGGTCTCAACCTCCGAGCCGTCAGGTCAAGCTGTCAGCCATAGCATGACGGGACCACCCTCCCTGAGCCATGTGAGCGCACAGCCCACAAGGCTAGACAAGCCACAGAGTGTCTCGCTCTCCGGGCTGTCAGGTCAAGCCGTCAGCCATTGCATGACGGGACCACACACTCCGAGCCATGTGAGCACACAGCCCACTAGGCTAGACATACCACGGAGTGTTTCGCTCTCCGGGCTGTCAGGTCAAGCCGTCAGCCATTGCATGACGGGACCACACTCTCCGAGCCATGTGAGTGCACAGCCCACTAGGCTAGACATGCCACGGAGTGTTTTCAATCTCCGGGCTGTCAGGTCAAGCCGTCAGGCACAGCATGACGGGACCACACTCTCCGAGCCATGTGAGCGCACAGCCCACTAGGCTAGACATACCACGGAGTGTTTCAAGCTCCGGGCTGTCAGGTCAAGCCGTCAGCCATAGCATGACGGGACCACACTCTCCGAGCCATGTGAGCGCACAGCCCACTAGGCTAGACATACCACGGAGTGTTTCAAGCTCCGGGCTGTCAGGTCAAGCCGTCAGCCATAGCATGACGGGACCACACTCTCCGAGCCATGTGAGCGCACAGCCCACTAGGCTAGACATACCACGGAGTGTTTCAATCTCCGGGCTGTCAGGTCAAGCCGTCAGCCATAGCATGACGGGACCACAACGTTCATGTTAGACACGCAACACTCACTGGGCCATCCTGGTCAGGACCTGCGCCCCAAGATAGTGACAGCCAGCAGCACAATTCCAAATCCCTGGCAGCATGTCACCATCGCAATTTAACACCATCACAACACATACAATTTGAATTATGATCCCCCACAGAACTAATCCAATGGGAACGAATCATCTGAGTTTCCATTATTTCTTATGGGGAAATTCGCTTTGATATACGAGTGCTTTGGATTACGAGCCCGTTTCCGGAACGAATTATGCTCGCAATCCAAGGTTTCACTGTATCAACGTTTGAGAAATAAGAATCGGTTTGACCCTTTCTGGCAATAAGGCAGTTGTGTTCTTTGAGACTGGCATGAGCGGGAATCGAACTCGGGTCGCCGGGTTCGTAGCGCAGCGTGGCGCTAACCGCGACACCACTGCTCCCCACGTACACACACAGGTACACACACACGTACGTGCACACACACAGGTACACACACACGTACGTGCACACACACGTACGTGCACACACACAGGTACACGCACACGTACGTGCGCACACGCGTACGCGCACCGAGCCAGTCGTTGAAGGCGGACACCTCGAGGGGCAGCCCGATGCGGGTGAAGTCGCCGGTGTGCAGGAGGACGTCCCCCGGTGGCACCACGAGGTCGTCGGTGAGCGAGTGCGTGTCCGACACGCACACGAAGCGCGTGTGGCCCTCCGGCCTCGGGGTGGCGTGCGGCGTCGGCGGCACCCTGGGGGCCAACGGAGGGGAGAGACGGGCGCGCGGTCGGCAGGAGGAGCTTCCGCGCGGTCGGAGATCAAAAACTAAACTAGAGGCTGTTTTACACGCTTTAATTTAACTCACTCTGTCTGTTGTTGTTGTATCCTCAAATCTTGTAACTCAATGTTTACCCACTTCCCAATGTGCTATCGACTGCAAACTTGGTATACTTATGTCATACTGATGACAATACTATATTCTATCATTAAAATCTATATTTTTAAACAATCTTTTCTACATGTTATGTTTCGGCTTGGGTCTAATTGTCCACGCTCAACTCACGTTGGCTGTAATTGCCCACGGCCCCTTACGCTATGGCAAGGTTCGGGGCCACTTCCTGGAGTCGTGGAGTTCTGCCATTACTCGCACGGTACATTTCATTAAGGCGTGTTTAAAAAAAAGTATTTTTTCACATTACTTATTTTACTACCAGGTAAGAAGGCCCCCGAACAGAGCGACTATGCGGCTCCTTTGTCAGAAGCGATCCCTCACTAATGAAGGCCCCACTCATTGCAGGTGCACAAAACTGGCTTGGCCACGAATCAGCCTCGTGACACCTCGCCGCTGATCTCGTCAGCAAGGAGCCTTAAACCCTCGTCACGGGGAACTCCTCCGGTAGTCACCCTCACAGCAGCAGCAGCAGCAGTGGTGGCGGCGGCGGCTTTTGGCTCAGCCGTCGAACTAAGACGGTCACTGCCAACGCGCGCTTTCAGATGCTGAAAATACTACACTACACTATACACTACACTATACACTACACTATACACTACACCACTATACACTACGCCACTATACACTACACGATTATACACTACACGATTATACACTACACTATACACTACATTATACACTAAACTATACACGACACCACTACACACTACACTATACACTACATGACTATACACTACACTATACACTACACTACACTATACACTACACTATACACTACTATACACTACACTATACACTACACTACTATACACTACACTATACATTACACTATACACTACTATACACTACACTATACACTACACTACTATACACTACACTATACATTACATTACACGATACACTACACACTACATTACACTATACACTACACTATACACTAGACTAAACACTACACTATACACTACACGACACACTACACTATACATTACACGATACACTACACTATACACTACACTATACACTACATTATACATTACACGATACACTACACTATGCACTACATTATACTATACACTACCACCACTACACCACTGCACACGACACTTTCAAGCGCTGTCGCCTTGACCGCGCCAAGCCTCACACGCGCAGGCAGGAGGGGCCCCTCGCGCGGTAAGCCGCGGACGGGTTCCAACTCAGCATGTCGACCGTCACGTCCCCGTCGACCGTCACGTCCCCGTCGACCGGCTCCCGCCCCTCGTCCGCCCGCCACAGGGTGTCCGGGATGCCGCCCTGCAGGAAGGGAGAGGTGGCGTAACACAGACTCACACAGAGACCCACAGACTCACACAGAGACCCACAGACTCACACAGACTCACACAGAGACCACAGACTCACACAGAGACCCACAGACTCACACAGAGACCCACAGACTCACACAGAGACCCACAGACTCACACAGAGACCCACAGACTCACACAGAGACCCACAGACTCACACAGAGACCCACAGACTCACACAGAGACCCACAGACTCACATAGAAGACCCACAGACTCACACAGAGACCCAACAGACTCACATAGAGACCCCACAATTACTCACACAGAGACCCACAGACTCACAACACGAGACCCACAGACTCCCCCAGCGACCCATAGACTTCCCACAGAGACCCTATGCCTCAACCAGAAGACCCACAGACTCACATAGAGACCCCATCTCACACATACTACCCACAGCTCCCCAGGACCCAAGACCACACACGAGACCAACTAGACTCACACAGAGACCCATGACTCACACAGGAGACCCACTAGACTCACACTAGAGACCCCCAGATCCACATAGGAGACCCAACAGCCTCACATAGAGAACCCACAGCCTCAAACTAGCGACCCCCACAGACTCACACAGAGACCCATAGACTCACACAGAGACCCAGACTCACACAGAGACCCACAGACTCACACAGAGACCCACAGACTCACACAGAGACCCACAGACTCACACAGAGACCCACAGACTCACACAGAGACCCACAGACTCACACAGAGACCCACAGACTCACACAGAGACCCACAGACTCACACAGAGACCCACAGACTCACACAGAGACCCACAGACTCACACAGAGACCCACAGACTCACACAGAGACCCACAGACTCACACAGAGACCCACAGACTCACACAGAGACCCACAGACTCACACAGAGACCCACAGACTCACACAGAGACCCACAGACTCACACAGAGACCCACGACTCACACAGAGACCCACAGACTCACACAGAGACCCACAGACTCACACAGAGACCCACAGACTCACACAGAGACCCACAGACTCACACAGAGACCCACAGACTCACACAGAGACCCACAGACTCACACAGAGACCCACAGACTCACACAGAGACCCACAGACTCACACAGAGACCCACAGACTCACACAGAGACCCACAGACTCACACAGAGACCCACAGACTCACACAGAGACCCACAGACTCACACAGAGACCCACAGACTCACACAGAGACCCACAGACTCACACAGAGACCCACAGACTCACACAGAGACACAGACTCACACAGAGACCCACAGACTCACACAGAGACCCACAGACTCACACAGAGACCCACAGACTCACACAGAGACCACAGACTCACACAGAGACCCAGACTCACACAGAGACCCACAGACTCACACAGAGACCCATAGACTCACACAGAGACCCACAGACTCACACAGAGACCCACAGACTCACACAGAGACCCATAGACTCACACAGAGACCCACAGACTCACACAGAGACCCATAGACTCACACAGAGACCCACAGACTCACACAGAGACCCACAGACTCACACAGAGACCCATAGACTCACACAGAGACCCACAGACTCACACAGAGACCCATAGACTCACACAGAGACCCACAGACTCACACAGAGACCCACAGACTCACACAGAGACCCATAGACTCACACAGAGACCCACAGACTCACACAGAGACCCATAGACTCACACAGAGACCCACAGACTCACACAGAGACCCACAGACTCACACAGAGACCCATAGACTCACACAGAGACCCACAGACTCACACAGAGACCCATAGACTCACACAGAGACCCACAGACTCACACGAAGATAAATAACCCCAAACAGAGACCCACAGACTCACACAGAGACCCACAGACTCACACAGAGACCCACAGACTCACACAGAGACCCACAGACTCACACCACAGAGACCCACAGACTCACACAGAGACCCACAGACTCACAGAGACACAGATCACACAGACACAGAGACCCACAGACTCACACAGAGACCCACAGACTCACACAGAGACCCCAGACTCACACAGAGACCCACAGACTCACACAGAGACCACAGACTCACACAGAGACCCACAGACTCACACAGAGACCCACAGACTCACACAGAGACCCACAGACTCACACAGAGACCCACAGACTCACACAGAGACCCACAGACTCACAGAGACCCACAGACTCACACAGAGACCCACAGACTCACACAGAGACCCACAGACTCACACAGAGACCCACAGACTCACAAGAGACCCACAGACTCACACAGAGACCCACAGACTCACACAGAGACCCACAGACTCACACAGAGACCCACAGACTCACACAGAGACCCACAGACTCACACAGAGACCCACAGACTCACACAGAGACCCACAGACTCACACAGAGGACCCATAG